CTATGAATATGTCTGAAAGGCCAAATCCCTCCACGCCTAGGAGGGATGCAGTCCTTAAGGAGCTTGTTAGCAGCCACAGCTGACAAAACAGAGAGGGCTCTCTGATAGCCCTGTAGGAGAGGCACAGCAGTATTAGCTGAGCTCACAAGTGGAGGTAGCAGTGGGCATTGGAAATGATCACACACTGCTAGCTTTTGCTTAGATAAAATTCTCAGCCATTCCTTTCAAATCTTACATATTTTACCACTGCACTCAACTGCTCTAGCTCCGTTGCCAAATTAGTCTGACCTCAGTTAGAACGGCCAGATCAAGCAGAGTGTGACTTGGAGCAGATCCCTACTGTAGGTGACTCCTTCCTTGGCTCATACCCACTGTACAAGCCGTATCAGTGTGGATAAAATGAGAGCAGACACTCAAGTCTCAGGTGAGAGATGAAATGCATTGGTCTTGGTGGGACTGAAATGCAGGCTGAGACCCTGGGAGGGCTGTCATCTCAATCAGTGTGATTAAAATTCGGGCTGAGATTTGAACAGCAAATCAACATCTTTATATAAAAATAAATCCTAGAAGTAAATAGAAGGTACCTTTAAAATCACAGGCTGACAAAAGTCATTCTGGTGAGGATAATACAGAGGCTGGGATACCCTGAAATTTGACCCTGTGGCATGTGTGTGTGTGAGACTCAGTACAGGTGGGCACTGGACTGTCCAAAGTGAGGGAGGTTGCCCTTAATGGTGGCCCAGCCCGATTTATATACAAAGATTACTCTACTAAAATTGGCAAGGTTGTTGGTCTTTTTGTTTGCTTTGTTTTCATAATGAAACAGCTACACCTGGGATGATGTCCCTCAAAAGTTTCCCTTTGAGACTTTCAAATTTGATAAAATACGGGAGGAAAAAAAAAAACAGGAAAAAAATTGAAAGCAAGATAGCACACACTCAGTGTGATGCTTTTTTTAGTTGATAAGGTGATGCAGCCGAACAGTGCACTGAATCACAGAACTCAGAGCCTAGAAGACTCCCAGGAAAAGCTAAGACAATAAAAATTTAAAATCAGAATTGCTTGGTTAACAAACAAAATCATCTCAACATCGATATATTTCTGGCACACATACTGCTGCTCCTGTAACTGGTAACTGATTCCCTATTGCAGCCCCTATGGATGGTGAATATTGTGACCATCTTTTACTAAACAGCTCCTTTATCCCATGTCCTGATCTCTAGAATGTACCCTTGCTCAATCCAGATCTTATCCTTTCTGTAGATGGCTCTCGCCTTTGTGACTCAAGTGGAAAACTTGCTTCCAGCTATGCTGTCTGTGATGCATGATATATTGCAGTATATTTCCTCTGTTCCTTCTGTACAAACTGCTAAACTTGTTCTTATCTGTGCCTGTATTATGGCACATAGCCAATCTGCAGCTATGTTCACCAACTCCTGCCTTGTGTTTGGTGTTGCGTATCATTTTGGTCAGCTCTGAAAACAACATGCTTTTCTTATGTCAGCAGGTTCCCATGTGAAGGATAGATGTTAGGTATGTGGATGCTCTTTTACAAGCCTTTCTACTGTCTTCTTTAGCTATTGCTTTAAATGTCAGTCTGCCATAACTCTATTCCACCCATTCCATTTGGCTGGAATAGAGTTAATTTTCTTTATAGTAGCTGGTACCACATTGTGTGTGCATCATGGTTTTGTGATTTTTTGTTATCAGTATTCCACATCATAACATCATGTAGAGCACCGGGAGTCGGGAGGGGAGATTTAGGTTGGATGTCAGGGGGAAGTTCTTTACAGAGAGAGCGGTGAGGTGCTGGCACAGGCTGCCCAGAGAGGTTGTGGATGCCCCGTCCCTGGAGGTGTTCAAGGCCAGACTGGATGGGGCCCTGGGCTGCCTGGTCTAGTATTAAATGTAGAGGTTGGTGGCCCTGCCTGTGGCACGGGGGTTGGAGATTCATGATCCTTGAGGTCCCTTCCAACCCTGACCGTTCTGTGATACTGTGAGTTAAAGTGTTAACGCTCAAGTTCCGGGCACCTGTCTGGAAGAGAAGAAGAGCTACATACCCCAGGGATTTGCAGTCATAGAAGAGATCTAACCCCTGGCAAGGTCACCTGATGTGCTCTTCATCTCCCCGCTGCTCAACCGGATTGCACATCTCACCTGAGCGTTATGGTGAGGCCTATCCACCTTTCGGACACTTGCTCTCATTATATTTGATTTATTGGCTTCAATTCCAATTATATTGTATTATAGTGTATTATCTTGCATTCCGATACTATACTTAGTAAATTAGTTTGTTTCTCCTCAGATCGTTGCCACTCTTTTAATTATTTTGGGGTTCCCCGTTTCCCTTTTCTGGAGGCACAGATTTTGTGAAATCCCTCTGCCACGCCAGTCACAGAACTGGGTTGAACCAGCCCGTAAACCATTGACAGTGTTTGTTGGATTTAGGAGGAAAATAGTGTTGATAGCACACGTATGTTTTAATTGTTGCTGAGCACTGCTTCCTCTAAGTCAAAGATGTTTTGGCTTCTCAAGCTACCTTGCCAGCGTGGAGCATGGATGTGCACAGTTGTTCTTTTCTTTCCCTCTTTTTTTATTTTTCTTTTTTTTTTCTTCCTTTTTTATTAAGGAAGGATTTTATCCTTAGTCCATGAGATTTCACAATTCTCTTTAAGCTGTGGGGGAGGGGCGTAAGCAAATGGCTGTGCTGTGCTGAGCTGCCTGCCAGATTAAACCATATCAGCTTTTTCAAGAAAGGACCCAAAATAAGGACTTCCTGTTGCACAAGTTGCATCAGAACCAGAGACATTGTCTACTCCTTGAGGCAGCTGAATAATGTGATGATTATATGATAGGTATAAACCAGACTCCAGCACTATGTAACTCTGACACTGCCACAGTCAGGATGTACCTTTTTCAAACATTTTTGTCAGCTTTCTATGATTCCGTAGTTCTTTGGAGATGAATTCTAAAACCATCAAAGGTGGCAACTGTGACAGGTAGCTACATCCCATACACCTATATCCTCCCATACACTTTTGCTACCTGTAACCATCCTGCATCATTGCAGATTTCTGGGTAGTATTTTTAAATAGTTATTTAACTTTAGACAAAACCAAAAACATATGCAAGAGACAATGTAATAGGATTGGTCTGCTGTGGTTTAACCCAGCAGGCAGCTGAGCAACACACAGCTGGTTACTCACTCTCTCCATGCACGACAGGATGGGGAGAGAACTTGTGGGTTGATAGTAAATAGTAATAGCTTCATAGTAAAGAAAGAAAAATGGAAAATAAGAAACAATGACATGAAAAATACCACAAAAGATGGGACACACAATGCAATTGCTTATCACCCACCAACAGATGCCCAGCTAGTCCCGAGCAGTGGCAGCTAACTCACCCAGTTTTATTGTTGAGCACAATGCCATACAGTACGGGACATCCCTCTGCCCAATCTCAGTGTCCCAGCTGTGACCTCTCCCAGCTCCTTGTGCTCCCCCAGCCTCCTTGCTGGCAGGGCAGTGTGAGAAGCTGAAACACTGCTGGCTCTTTGTAAGCACTACCCTCTAACAACAAAACCATCAGTGTGTTATCAACATTATGTTCCTCCTAAATCCAGAGCAAAGCATCAGTGGAAATGACGATGCAGGCCCATGCTACTTCTTATGAAGATGTCACACAAGGAGATGACCTGGCTGATCATGATGACCTTGCCTGCAGGCTTCAAATTTTGTTGTTAATTATCTTTCTGATTCAGATTCAATTTCTCTTTCAGAACTTTCATTATTATAGAACAATGAACCTATAACTGTGAAGGAAGAGTCCTGGAGGATTCTTAGCTCTGCAGTGGTTGCCAGTTATACCCAATACTTTATGGTCGTGTCTCATTCCATTTTATCCTTCCTTGCTTATGTGTCATACTGCATGGCTCACATTAGCAAGAGAGAATTACCACTGCAGTACAGCAGAAATCCAGAATTTTTCTGTAAAGCACAGCAGTATTGCTGTCCATACTGTACCTGTCCATAACAGTTGCCTAGTCCATAACACAGGCCAGTGTACAAAACCAACACCTGCAGCACATCCCAAACATCAGATACAAGCATATTTCGAACACAGCAGATACACGTCCTCCAAATGGCCAAACACTGTAATTCAGATAACAGTGCTTGTTGTCCTTTATGAGTAGTCAGGGTTGCAAACATACTGATGCCACTAATACAGCCAAGAAACTTTTAAGAGACTTGATACTTTGATTTGACATTTCTTTGATATAGATAGTAATCAAGGTGCTCATTTCACAAGCCAAATTATTAAAAATATTTGCACAGCTTTAAACATTTAGCAACACCTATGTTATGCCTCAGCCCAGCAGTGCAGAAGGAAGAATCTCTGACCTGAGATGTGAATTGGCCAAGGTATGTTAAGAAACAGGACTGAAGCAGCCAGAAGCACTGCTGCTGACATATATGCAACGCACAGTAAACAGGACGTACAGCCTGTCACCTCAGGAGATTCTTAAAGGATGGCCTACGTGCCTCCCTCATTCACCACCTGAAGAACGGCATGAACTTGGCCTGTGATTACCAGGCGTTTTAACACTGCAGATCCCTAAAAAGCGTGGGATATCTGTCTATCCTCAGGTGAAGGAAGCTCTCTTAGTGCCCTCCTTCGGACCGTGCCACGCTCTGCAGCTGGCAGACCGGCTCTACACGAGGCTGCCAACAAGTACCTCGGGTTCGAGGGGAGGAGAGGAACACACGCACTCTGGGAGGATCCCATCCCAACCGCCCCTTCCTACGGCTCGGCAGGGAGGTGGGGACAGGCAGTAGGACAGCGCGGCCCGTTGGAGCGGCCATCAACAGGAAGCGCCAGGAAGCGGGCACGTGAGCCCTACACTTTGCACCAAGCGTTTGAGAGGCTTTAAGGCCACAAGGGGCGGAGCGCGGCAGCATAATTATAAGTATTTAATATTACTATATTCGTATTAAGCACCCAGCGTTCCTCACCGGCAGCCCCGAATCTCCGTGACGAGCTCCTCTCGGCGCCGACCCACCCACCGCTGCGGTGCGGGCCGCCCTCCGGATCCCGCCCTCGGAGGCAAATGAGCGCCCTGACGGCGTGCCGAGCGGGCTCCCGCTGCTGGCAGAGCTGGCTCTCCCAGGTCGGCCCCGCTTCGCGGCACCGCAGCCCCCAGCGAGTAGCAGGGGCGTCCCCGGCCCGCCGCCTCTCCTCCATGGCCGCCACCATCCGCTTCTCACCAGCCACCCGCAGCCTCTTCGATGAGCCGCTGGGCATCGCCGTGCAGGGCCTCAGCCCGCGGCAGCAGGTCACCCTGCGGGCGTCCCTGCGGGACGAGGCGGGCGAGCTGTTCGAGGCCCACGCCCGGTACCAGGCGGCGGAGGACGGCGAGCTGGACCTGGCCCGCTGCCCCGCGCTGCCGGGAGGCAGCTTCAGCGGCCTGGAGCCCATGGGGCTGCTGTGGGCGCTGCAGCCCCGCAGGGCCTTCTGGCGGCTGGTGAAGAAGGACGTGCAGACCCCTTTCCTCCTGCGGCTGGAGGTGCTGGACGGCCACGGGGATGACCCCGGGCGGCTCCTGGCCCAGGCCCAGCACGAGCGGGCGTTCCTGCGCGACGGGGTGCGCAGGGTGCCGGTGCGAGACGGGAGGATCAGGGCAACGCTCTTCCTGCCCCCCGGTGAGTACCGGCGCGGCCCCGTCCGCCCTCCGCGGTGCCGCCTCCTTTGGCAGTGTCTCTCCAGGAGGCCCCTGTGCGCGGTACCGGGGCAGCGCAGAATTAGGACTCGCCGGCCAGCGCAACCCGATCGGCGCAGTCAGCTTCCACCTGCTTGCCACGCTCCTCCTTGTGTACCTTAGCTACAGGGTTCCTCTGCAAAAGTCCTAAGTCCTGACTGTGTTGGTTCCTTTCCTGGCCTTTCTCCAGATCCTCAACTCAGTCATTTCAGAGTTGCTGCAGCCCAAGCTTGTTTTTGCTGATGAATTTGCCCTGTTTCTCTCCATTTGTGAGTAGAAAGTCAAGCAGACCATTGCACACATTTGTGATTATGGCGTTTTTGTCATAGTTCTGATTCACAGAATCACAGAATCACAGAATGGCCAGGGTTAGAAGGGAGCTCAAGGATCATGAATCTCCAACCCCCCTGCCACAGGCAGGGCCACCAACCTCCCCATTTAATACTAGACCAGGCTGCCCAAGGACCCATCCAATCTGGCCTTTAAACCATCCAGTCTGTATGGATGCCTGGGATTCCTCCAGCCCAAGTGCAAAACTCTGCACTTTGCCGTGTTGAACCTCATCAGGTTCACCTGGGCCCACTTTTCCAGCCTGTCAAGGTCCCTCTGAATCCATTCCTTCAACCGCACCACTCAGCTTGGTGTCGTCAGCAAACTTGCTGAGGGTGCACTCGATTCCGTCATCGATGTCATTGATAAAGATGTTAAAGAGCACCGGTCCCAAGACAGACCCCTGGGAGACACCACTCATTACCAGTCTCCACCTGGACATAGAGCCATTGATGACCACCTTCTGTCTGCGTCCTTTCAACCAGTTTCCTATCCATCTGGTGGTCCACCCATCAAATCCATATCCCTCCAATTTGGAGATAAGGATGTGGTGGGGGACCATGTCAAAGGCCTTGTTCAAGTCCAGGTATATGACACTGGTCGCCTTCCCCTTGTCCACTGATGCCATCACTCCATCATAGAAGGCCACCAGATTGGTCAAGCATGACCTTCCCCTGGTGAAGCCGTGCTGGCTGTCTCGGATCACACGCTCATTCCTCATGTGTTCATGCTTGTCATCCAGAATGATCTGTTCCATGATCTTCCCAGGCACAGAGGTAAGACTCACCAGCCTGGTAGTCCCTAGGGTCCTCCTTACTCCTGATTGCCTTACAAATCCTGTGTACAAATCCTTCCCAGCAGTTGCCCAGGCTTATGCTAGTTCTCTGTAGGAAGCCTCTTCCCATTTCCCATCTTTATCTGGTGCTCATTTACAGCTGTCATCACCACCTTTAATTCTCCCTGTGACCCAGAGGCTCACCAGGCATGTCTCCGGTTTTGTGCTGGATTCCATGTGGTCAAGGAGCATCTCTATGTAGTATATGCCTTACTTTCCCCTCCCCTGCCTTTTTCCCTTGCCTGTCCCTTGTATCTTCTCCATTGCAACACTGCAATCATACATGTCCTAGCCAGCACCTTCTTTCGTACTCCCTGTGGCTGGTGGTGAGTTTCCAGTTGTTGCCCAAGTTCCGCACACTCATGTGTGGAAGCAGAGATGGAAGTCTTCCTTCTGTCCTCCTCCTTTAGTCTTCAGTTTCCTGCAGTTCCTCTCAGCCTCACTCATGAGAGTGGCAAGGTTGGTTGCAAATATTTTCTTCCCTTAGTGCCAGAATAAACAATTTATAGTGCATTTACACTGAAACTAAGAAGCTGGAACCATGGCAGATGGGATTTTTGGGTCAGTTTTTTGAGAAATGCAGTGGGGAAAAGCCTCCTGGGTATTTTTGGAGCAGAGTTTGTTATGTTTGCAGTGAGTTTACATGATACAGACAGCTAGCTGTGACTATCATCCTTTCCCTGCCAGTCATATGTTTCCTTATGTTCAGTAAAACATTGGCTAGGCAACTGTTTTGCACCTTTGTTTAATGTTTCATCTTGAAGCAATGCAGCCATTTACTGAAATGTAGTACAGAATTTGAAATGCTTACTACCATTCTGTGCTTTTGTGTGTGTGTGTTTTTTGTTTTTGGTTGGTTGGTTGGTTGGTTTTTTGAAGGCACGTTCCCAGGCCTGTGAATTTGGGATATAAATGAGAAATGATGGGTCAAGATGTCCCATTTTGTGGCCTCTTTCAGGAAACGGTCCCTTTCCAGGAGTTATTGACTTGTATGGCACTGGAGGAGGACTCCCCGAATACAGAGCATGCCTGCTGGCCAACTATGGCTATGCTGTGCTGGCACTGGCTTTCTATGGTTATGAAGATCTCCCCAAAGAGATGAAGGAGATCAACCTGGAATATTTTGAAGAAGCTGTTAACTATATGTTACAACACAAGCAGGTTGGTATAGACACTGACACAGCCTAACTACAAGGGAACTGTCATTAGTCAGCTCCTACCAGCCTGCAAGTGGGGCAAAGCTGTTGTATTTAGAATAGCATCTCTGTTCAGGTCAACTGAAAATAATTCCTTTCATATCCTTAACTCCCATTACAGTGGCTCTCTAGCAGATAATTCCAGTTCTTCCTTTTGTACTGGCCAGGTGACACAGTGACGTGGAGTCACATACCAGTTATTTCTGCTTTGTTCAACCCAGTGTCCTAACAAGGGAACCAGTTGCCTAGAGGCACATCAGGCTTCCAGTGGGGCTTTTAAGTTTACATTCCATGTAATGTGCTTGAGGACTAAATGGCTTTTTTAACCTTGGAGCACATGATATCCTTCTGTGATCTAAGGCTCAAGGAAGTCTATAAATACACATTTGTTGCTGTGTATTGTAGTTACAGTCACTTCAAATATTGATATGTAGTGCATGTGCTTGTTGGTAGCTGGCTGCAAATTCAGCTGAGTTCCTAAGCAGGCACCTCCTGGAAGAGAGCCCTGCTTAGCTCTGCATCTTTTTCCAAGTAGCTGCACATGACAATAGCTAGAATTCCACATGGCAATGTCTGACCTCTCTGGAGAGCTCAAAATAAATACCTTCCTAGAAAGATGAGTAAAGGCCTTTGTGGCCTTTCCGTTGCAATAACCCTAACTGCTTATGCCACTCCTATGCCCCAAATCTTGCACTTTTTTCTTTTTCTTCTCTCCCCTGAGAACAGTATTGTAGACTCTTGTTAACACCTTCACTGATGCCTCTCTCATGCCACATTTTTAACACTTGGCAAAATTTTAGCCATGTTTTCAAATTACCCCCTTTCTCTGCTTCAGACTCGGTGGGTGTAGAGCTTCTCATGCTGGTGATAAAGTACAAAAGATGCTAAATTTCAGCATTTTCTCAGAGCCTTTTTAGCCCTGAGGGTCTTTGAATGTTGTGACATTGACACCCTGAATTTCAGCAACCTGTGAGATCATTTAGCTTTCCTATTATAATTTGTCTGTGTAAAAGAAAATGAAGAGGCCTTGTAGTTTTATTAGGATGCTGCTGCAGTCTCAGCAGGGCTTCTGGCCATAAGCCAAGCACAGAACAGTGCTGCAGGGTCCCTTGCACACAGGACCTTAGGTGCTTATACCTGCAGTGCAGATCAGGACAGGCTGTGTTGACACGGCAGCACTTTCAAGAAATGGTTTGCATATTTCACTGATCATGATTTCTGTTTCTTTACCTTCCAGGTTAAAGGTCCCGGGATTGGGTTGCTCGGTTTCTCCAAGGGGGGTGACTTATGCATTTCAATGGCCTCCTTCCTGAAGGGCATCACGGCCACCGCTGTGATCAATGGCTCGGTGGCGAACGTGGGCGCAGTGGTCCGCTACAAGGACGTCACCATCCCGCCCCTCGGTGCCAACACAAAACGTATCAAGGTCAACAAGTCTGGGATCGGTGATATCATTGATGCACTTAACAATCCCCTAGAAGGGCCTGACCGCCAGAGCTTTATCCCTTTGGAGAAAGCTACGTGTCGCTTCTTGTTCGTTGTTGGCCAGGATGATCACAACTGGAAAAGCGAATTCTTTGCAATTGAGGGGAGCAAACGTTTGCAAGCTCATGGGAAGGAAAAGCCTGAGATAATCTGTTATCCTGGAGCAGGACATTATATTGAACCCCCTTTTTTCCCAATGTGTGCTGCCTCAATGCACCTGCTGGTTGGCATGCCTGTGATGTGGGGTGGGGAGCCCAAGGCGCACTGTGAGGCACAGATAGACTCCTGGCAGCAGATCCAGGCCTTCTTCCACAGACACCTTAATGGTGAGCCTTCCAAGACAGCCAATAAGTTGTGATGTGATTTGGGTTACTGTGCAGAGGAAGATGCTAGTGTTTCACATTTTTTCACATTCTGTGTTTCACAGTTGTTTTGTTAATTGGCTCTGAATGAGAGCAAAGAACATCAGAGAATAAACAGTTGGTTTTTTTTCCCAAGCAGGTGGTGGCTGAGAGTTGCATCCTCTCCACACCTTCCTCTAACACCCAGTGATATCTTGGCCTCCCATTGTGTGTAGTACGGGAGGGATGTGGAAGCATGATGATGACAAGGCTGGGACTGTTCTGAATGCAAGTTTAAGTGGAAAGAAATCAGCTGAGAAGTGGGATGAAAATTTATTTACCTTGTAAGTCTTCCTTATAAGAAGTGTGTTGGATGCTGCTGTCCTTACTGGAGACAGTGCACTTCTTTTTTGTCTGAAAGCAGCTGTTCCCTCTATCAACATCCAGTAATCTCATGTCACTAAGTTGTGTGTCTGCCTTAACTCTGTCCATTTTGAGATCTAGCATCTAGCACATCTCCGGGAAGAGATGACAACAGCCCACAGCCCAAAAGTGCATTCTGGGTATACATACTAGAACTGGTAGGCTTCCCCTCTGGCTTTCTAGGAGGCGTGGGGAGCAGTGGGGTTCTGTTCTGGAGATGCTGAGCAGTTTTTGGCTCCCGAGCACGCACGTGAAAGAGAAAGCACTGAATGTTGTTAGAGAAGTGCTGGCGACTCTTCGCGGTTACCTGAAAAACCCTTCAGTGCCTTACAGCGGCAGGCTGCGCGCACGCAGCTAACTGGCTCTATCCAGCGTTCGACTTGCGCGTCATTTCCACGGGTTACTAACGCACCTTGCACTCTCCGCGCTTTTCTAATTCATTAAAGTGAAACGTTAACTCGAGCACAGCTTGGTTTGTGCACGCGGGACTGGACGCGGCGGGAGGGCGGGGATCCGGCAGCCCCTCTGCCGCGCACCCACACCCCCGGCTCCCAGCGGGCGGGACGCTGCGCGGGGGCGGGCGGTGAGCGAGGCCGCCCCGAGCCGCCGGCGCCGCAGGAACGCCAACCGGTCGGGAGGGCTCCGCTCTCGATTGAGGCTGCCTGGCGGGGGCGGCCGTTACCGCCGTCGGCGCCGTCCGCTCTGTGGCTCTCGTCCCCGCGCCGCCGTCATGTGGAGAGCGGCGGTCGCCGCCAAGGCCCAAGCGTGGGCGCTGCGCCGCGGCCCGGCGCGCGGGGCGGTCAGCGTGGCCGTGACCCCCGCGGCCGGGCTGGCGGACGAGCGGGTGGACACGCGGGTGGCGGGGCTGGGCCCGGGGCAGCCGGTGACGCTGCGGGCGGTGGCGTCCGACGAGCGGGGCTGCCTCTTCCAGTCGTGCGCGCACTACCGAGCGGACGGCCGCGGCGAGCTGCACCTGGGCACGGACGCCTCGCACGGCGGGGACTACACCGGCGTGGAGCCCATGGGGCTCTTCTGGAGCCTGGCGCCCGCGGGCATGGAGAGGCCGTACCAGCGGCTCGTCCCCCGCAGCACCGGCATCCCGATGAAGGTGGAGATGTTGGTTCACCGGGGCCACAGCCAGTCCGGCGCCATCCACGGGCCGGTGATGGCCAAGGCCGAGGTGGAGAGGTGGTTCACGGCCCCCGGCGTCAGGAGGATTCGGCTGAAGGAGGGCGCCGTGAGGGGCTCTCTCTTCCTGCCGCCGGGTGAGTGGGGCCCGGCTTCTGCCCGGAACGGGGGTCACCGGGGGCGTCCGTGTTCCAGAGCAGCACCGAAGGGCGCCCGAGGACAGTCGCCTTCTTCTGGGGACGCTGCTCCGTGCCGGTCAGCAGCGCAGGCGCGGGCAGGTGCCTCTGGCGTGGGTGGAAGCTGAGCGAGACGAAGGCTTGTCGTTTTCCACGCCGCTGCTCTCGGGCTGGGAGATTCTATAGATTGTGGTTTTTTTCCTGAGCTCCCGGAACCCATAACGCTCAGGAAAGGTGATAGGCTTTGACCGTGTGAGCCTCTGTGCAGGATTTTATCCTGAGGATGAAGTGTAAGAGGCAATTTTTCTCCCTGCAAAGCATATGCCGATAAGCAGAGCCGCAGAGGAGACTCTGTAGTAAAGCATTACGGTTCTGTTACGCCAGAGCTCAAGCTAAGCTGCTATTTAGCAAGTTCTAGCAAGTTCTGTTGTTCTGTGTATAAATACAAATCGTTATCTGAAGAAGCTCTGCCTGTTCTCCCCGTGGGATGGCTGAGTTCTATGAGGTGTGACATTCCGATGGGCTGCTGGAAGTTGAAACCTTACACTGCTGGTGGTGTTGGAATGCTTCAGATATGATTTAAACTTCTGTGTTTCACTGGCTGTTGTACTGTGAGAACTGCCATCCGTATTGCCTCTGGAATAGTTTGGTTCTGCAAATCCTGTAAGCGCTGCTACAATTATCAGGGATTAAAATCTTGGTGAATGATTTCCAAACCAGTAATCTTTATTAGCCTTTTAGGTACGGATCCAAAGTCTGCTAAAGAAGGAAAAAAAAAAACCCAACATAGATTGGACTTTGAATGTTCGATCAAATGTTTAGTCAGCATTCTGAAATATCTAACACTGAGATGTGGTTGATACATCCTGCCTTAGAGAACGAGCCGAATTTCTGCGGAACTCAGTGGAAATCCAGAGATCTGCAATCAGGAACTGTATTTTTCCCTTCAGAAAGTCTGGTGTTGTAATACTATGGAAAAGTCCGAGATCATTGCTTAAATGATGCTGGCATCCTTTTAAATAAAGGATCCAGTTACGACACTAGCACCATATCTTTCTTTGCTTCAGGGATTGTTGAGAAAGGAACCTTAAAGGTCAGCCATCCTTGGTAAAAGTGAGATTACGTAAATGGGCTTATGCTGCAATTATGGTATGAAAGATATTTCTCATTTCAGTTATAAAGTTACAGGCTGTAATCTTTTTTAAGTAGTAATAAAGTTGTCTAGAAAGTTATCCTGCTTTTTCGTGAACTGTGGAGAAACTACGCTTGGGCTTTGCAGGCATTCAGGAAGGCAGTTGGGTGTCCTTGTGTAAGTTGAAGGTTATCGTCGTGGAAGAGAAGATAACCTTGACTGTGTCCTGCTTGCACATTCTCACTAGAATGTGTAGGGGTGAGAAATAAAAGTATGCTACAGTTTTTGCTCTCATACAGAATACTGAACTTTAATGAGAAGTTTTGGAACTGACAAAGAACCCAGAAGCATGTTTCAGCACTTTTCTGACTTTTTTTGCATTTCGTTAGGAGGTTTCTCCAATCTAACGTGTCTTGCCCAAATCTTCTTAAGCACCTTGAAACATCAGAGGTCTTTGCAGCATAAAAATAATGCCAGAGGCTCAATGCACTCTTGCACAAAAGGGTACTTTTTCTAATGAGAGCTGTGATCTGGGTCTGAATCTGTCAGTGGTGACATCTGATGGCAAGACACTACACCTCTCCAGAATAAACCCCCAAAATACCTGGGCTCTTTATGGTTGCAAGAGCTTTTAACACAAAATCTGTTAGAATAACAGACTGAAATATAAACAACACAAACTTCACTGCAGAATCATGGTTGCTTGAAGTTGTGGTTCTGGAAATCCCTGTAGTTTTACAGGGCAAGCACATATATGCATGTTTATCTGTGCATCAGTCACACACACCTAAGTGCACCCACGCGGGTCTCAGTTTTACTCTGTCATTTCACACTTGCAATAGCAATTTGGCTGCTGGCTGTGACAGTGCTGATGCCAAGATAGAGCGAGTGAGTTGAGCTGATTTCATCCTGCAGTGGGTGTCTCTGCTGTGCTTTTGTTGGTGTGCCTTATTTCGGGATTTGTATATCCTTGGCCTTAATGCTATTGCCTCATGAGTAACATGTTTTCACTTTGCTAATTAAGGAATGGCTTCTTTGTGGGAAAAAGCTGATTTGAAGCATGATTGTTCTGAGGGTGAGAGTTTAAGATCGTTGCAAAATACACTGAGAAAACAGTTGTTTTAACAAAATATGTTTAGCTGTTCTCTTACTTTCATAGTAAGCTCAGAACCTGAAATAGCTGAAGTCACACAGAGCACCAGTCTGTAATCTCAGCTGTGCAAATGGAAAATTTATGAGTAGTTATAGAAAACATCTAATGCTTTCTATATTTTGATTTTCAAACTTAGCTAGATACTTCTTAGAGTCCTGTTTGATAACTTGTGCTCTGTACCTCTTCTCAATCCAGGGGATGGCCCCTTTCCAGGAGTCATTGACATGTATGGTGATGAAGGAGGTTTGGTTGAATTTAGATCCAGTCTCCTGGCTACCCGTGGTTTTGCAGCTCTTTCTCTGCCATATTTTGACTTTGAAGATCTGCCTAAGGTCATGAAAGAATTTAAACTTGAGTACTTTGAGGAGGCAGCTAGATTTCTACAGCGTCACCCAAAGGTGAGTGTAAGGAGAGATCTCTCCAGACAAGGAACTAGGGAAGATTTGGTAGCCATGCCCACTTGGTGGCAGTGATTTTCTTGGAATGTCTTTGGGCAGATTTAGGCTCCGTAATGGAAAAAGTGTAGGTCCTACATAGGCAGCAATGCGTATCACTGCAGAGTGTATTTCTTCCACCACAAGCAGGCCATTAAATAAATGCACACTGGAAAATTGACAAATGCTGATCATGAGGACAATGAAGTGCTGGAACAACCTTCCGCTGGAACAGTGGTGATGTATGTATGTGGTGTTTTTGTGGGGTTTTGTTTGTTGTTTTAATGAAAGCAGTTAGCTTACGAGAGGGTGGCACAGCACTGCTCAGTGCTACAGACGATTTGATAACTTGAGATGTTCCTTTGTTTTACTCTCCAGGCTAGAACAGGAAAAGGCTGAATACGTATCTAATTCTCAAATGTCATTTGTGAGATGACTTTATGTGCCAGGGACATATTTTGCAATTGACTGTATTTGAATTTCCTGCTACCTGTTTGGGGGAAAATATTTGCAAGAAAATACACAGCGGTTGAATTCCAAGTGATTGTACTTGTTGTTCCTAGCCAACATTCCTATCCAAATGTGATACCAGTGTTATTTTACGGTGTTTGACATTTATTATTGGCTCTGAAGAAGTCTGGGTCCAGGCTATAGCTTTCCAATAGGTCACCTCAGTAATTAACTTTTTTTTTTTTTTTTTTTTAATAACACAACTTCAAAGACATTTGATGGCTAACCCTATTATAACATGTATTTATTCCTTTCTTCCTCTCTTTCCTGCAACCGCATCTTAATCTGAAGGTGAAGGGGCCAGGAGTTGGAGTGATTGGGACTGGGAAAGGTGCAGAATTAGCACTCTCCATGATCACCTTCCTACCAGAAGTAGTGGCTGCTGTCTGTATCTCCGGCTGTAGTTCGAACACGGTTGCAGACCTCCATTATGGTGAGATAACTCTGCCTGGGCTGCGTTTTGATATGAATAAGGTCAGCGTTTCTGACACTGGTGTATTTGACACTTTTGAAGCTCTGGATGACCCAGCAAATCCTGCCAATTCCTCTTGCACAATCCCCATAGAAAAAGCAGAAGGTCACTTTCTCCTAGTAGTAGGGGAAGCTGATCGTATGTGGAAGAGCTCCTTATACGCTGAGCTAGCAATTGGGCGCCTACGCCAGCATGGGAAAGAAAACTTTGAACTGCTGAGTTATCCAGGAGCAGGGCACCGAATCGATCCTCCTTCTACTCCGTTTTGTGAGGTGGCTCTGGATCGTGTTCTGGGGGTGCCTGTGTTGGGGGGTGGAGAGAGCAAAGCACACGCTCATGCCCAGGAACACTCCTGGAGAAAGATTCGGGAGTTTCTGCACTTGCATCTGGGATGAACACTTCAGCACCTGTAAGTTGCTGTCGCTGAGCTTGAGCCGCCACAATGATTGGAGAATTGGAGGTGTTGACTGAGAAAAGCTCTGAAATGTGAAATAGCCAAATGACAGTTACATATATAAATCAAGACAGAAAGGGATTGATTTGCACTTGCCCAAGTTATTTTAAGTAGGTATGCGGAAGAGAAGTGAAGCGATAATAAGTAGGCAGCACTGTAGTACAAATTTGAGTCTGAATTGGTCATGCTATCAAGAAACAAGTGTCTGAAGAAAGTGCTTTCTGATACCTGCTTTCTTGCTTCAGTATTTATGAATCAAAGAACTTCACTGCCAGCCTGTACCCTTAGAAATGAGAGATTGTTTTTCGCCTGGGAGAACATTGGCAACCTGTGGGCCATGAACTTTGATATCAAAATGATGAATGATTCTGGCTTCGGGTCTCAGATTATTTTAGCCTAGAACTTTCTGATTTATAGCCATACACTTTGGTACTTTGGATGTGTTTTCTACTTGCACAAAGCTGGGGATCTTCATTTTAATAAGTTTCTTATACATTGGCCTGAAACAGTGGTCTTCTGTTGGAAACAATCTTGCCTCTTTCCAACAACAGCTATGCTTAAATCCAGAAAAGGAAGAGTACTTCCAACTATAGAGGCAGGCAGCACCAGTGGTGTCCTGAATTGGGGATGTGACCATCTGTTCCTGTAATGCCTTGGGTGGGCAGTTGAGTCTTGGGAGTATCGATTATTCTGTTGCGTAGTACAGTTAAATGCAGTTATTACCATCTGCAAATCTTGCTTCTCTCATTACTTGTTTTAAATAATTAACACTTGCTATTAAGCTAGAGTTTAATTACGTGTGGAACTCTTCGTTAATGATGTCAACAGATGCTGACAGCTGTTATTAGGAAGGAAGGTGAGAGACAGAAGAGCTGGCAAGTAGAAGACTGTGAGACAGGTTGTAAAAAGCTGTCCTCCTGCAGTAATGATCATAATACAAATGAAAATACAAAAGAAAAGGGTAATCTGCGATCTTCTGACCCAGGCTGCCTGAGATTGTTTTTCATACTAATTAATCCTAGTATCTTATTGTTCTCTGCCATTTAGGTAGAAAGAAACAATTTCTTCCCAAATGACTCTTGTCTGTGATGAGGGTCTTGCCAATGCTGAAGACCTATTTAATAGGGGCTTCAACTGATAGAATTCTCCTTCCAAGTCAGACCTGTTTCAGAGCTGCCCAAAAAGAAACAAAACCATCATAAACAATAGTGACTTTTGCTCTGCTCTCAGGGATCTTTTCTCTCCAGTTGACTATCATTATGTTCAGGCCTGATTAGCTTTCTGCAGCTCATATTACTCCTTATCATTTGAGTTAAGTCACTTGTTCTCCACACACCATCACTGCCAGTTATTTAACCATACACTCCTTACAAGATAAACTTCATCCACTTAACTGCAGCGAAGATGTTCTCACACCCAGCCTTCCTCAACTCTCTGGCTGAAGAGCCTTTGCACAGCCTTATCTGATGCTCGGACCTCCACTCATCCTAGCTGCCCCAGGAGTCCCACAGCACATCCTGCTGTGATGTGCACCTTGAGGCACTGCTCATCCTTACTGCCCTTCCCTTCTTCCAAGTTGTAGCTATTGAGAAAAGGGTTGCATATAGGTTTCTTGTTCTGTCTGTCCTTGCCAGTACAAACGACCTGCCTTAACACTCGTGACCCGCTCAGGACTGATACTTGTCTCCGTACTGCAGTCTGACCACGGTACATCAGTTGCTGTGCAGCACTGCAAGCTGGAGACTCGGAAATGAGACAGGCAAAAATAAACCCAAACCATGACAAGTAGCTTAAAAGTCTCCAAACTTTGTTTTGAAAGGTCAAACCCTTAAAGTAATTCAATGTTAGATATCATCAGGTACCTGCGATTTAAAGACAAGTACTTATTTAAAAGCAAGGCAGTGTGAGAATTAGCTACTGTGTTTTGAGTAGCTCATTTGTTTGGCAATGAGGTATCTTTATTTCTCCTCTCTTGTTTAAATAAAATGTTATTATTTTACTGTGGAGATACTTTGGTGGACAGGTCAGGATGCTTCTGAACATAAACATTCACTAGATGGCTTGTAGGAAACCGACCAGTTTTTGTACTAGTGTTTTGTATTTCACATCGCTGCTGGGAGACCAAAACTACCTTACAGACACCGCAAAGACAGGCGCAGCCACTGCCCGAAGCGAAGGAAAGCTAAGCTGGGTGCCCGGCTCAAGTATCACTTACATCGTTTGCACGCCTTCCACGGCAGACGTCCCGTAGCGTTTCTCCGATGGCTGGATTCACCTGATGAGCCGGACGCGGAGGTGCCGCACGAAGGCAACGTGGGGATCCGGACCCGCTTTAGGGCTGAAGGAGCGCGGGCAGCAGCCTGGGGGCGCCGGCCCCGTGAGGGGCGGCCCGGGGAAGGGTCGTCCCCCGCCAACCGCTGTAACTTTCACAGAGCGATTTTAATTCAATAAAAAGCGCACGGCGACGGAGGCGGGGCGTGGCCTTTCTGTTGTCGGTTCCGGAGCCGGGACGGGGCAGAACGCAGCCGCCGGGCCGGGCTTGAGGACCGCGGCAGCCCCTGCGCCGCGTCCCACAATGCGTCGCGGAGCGCCCCCTACGCGACTTCCGGGCCGGGCCCGCGCGCCGCGGCGGAGCTCCGCGGTCGCCAGGCGCGGCCTCCTTCTTGCTCGGCCCCTCGGCCCCGACGCGTCCGCGGCGCTACGCATGCGCGGGAGACGGCCGTGCCATAGCAACCGGAGCGTCGACGGTAGCGACGGCGATGGTGGGTCCCGTCAGAGCAGGGCGTGGGGGGGAGGGCCGCGCGCGCGGGGAAGGCCGGCGGCTCGGGGAGACGGTGCTGGGGCGTCCTCGAGAGGCGGCGGCGGGGGGCCCCGCTCCGGGCCGAGAGCGAGCGAGGCAGGGCGGTGGCGGTCCCTCGGCGCCGTCCCCAAGCGGTGCTCGCGTGGGACGGGCGGTGCGGCCTCGCCGTGCCCGGGGAAGCGGGGCTCCGGGCGGCTCGCGGCGGCGGGAGCGGAGGAATCCCGCCCGCGGATGCTGCGGTGCCGCCGCGTGAGAGGTGCTCCCGGCGCTCGGCTTTGGGGCGGCGGCGTCTGCGGTGCCGCACGGACGGGCCTGCTTTCTCCTGCCGGGCGGCTCCGACCCGCTCCTGACTGCCGATAAATGGGTGCAAGCGAAGGCAGAGCCTCGCCGGTGTCTTGGCGGGACTGAAGTTTGTAAAAGCTCGGTGTCGGTACGCCCCGTGCTCAAAAGACCTCTTTCTGGGAAGAAGAATATTTCAATCATTATAGCTTAAATACATTTGTTTTCTGCTAAGATGTTATATTTCTTGTTCCTGGAGCCCTGATGGCGGTGTCTCAGGTGGCCGCTTCAGCCTCTGATGGCTCTTGAGGCTGTGTGACTTTCTTTCGCCTCCATCCCTGCAGCAGGTTGTTTGGTATCCATCTGGGGACTCCGAAAGCAGCCTTCCGAGGGAGGCTTCCCCAGCAGCCGTAGTGCCTTCTGCCGCAGGGGGCTGCTTATCTAGGGAAATTTCCAGTGCGCTTCAAAGAGCAAAACAAAGTCATTGGCGCACATTCTCTTGATAAGCCCTGTGCTGATTGTTTCTGTGTGCACCTGGTTCTCCGCTTTAAATCTGGTCTGGTTTTACGCCTGGAGCTGGGACAGCAGGAGGCTCTGTGAGGGACTGAGGTCATGGCCTCAAATAGTACAACAGTCAGCTAGCAGAACTGTGGAAAAGTGCTGGAAACTTCCCATCAGAAAAAAGAAACAACTAGAAGCCTTGGCTTAGCTGTCACACTGCTATGGCTGCTAATTGGAGTCTCAGGAAGACTTCTGGAGCGGGAGCTGGGGTTGTGTTCCGAGCAGGAGGTGATCACTTGGGTTGGCTTGCAGCAGGCTCCAAGGAGGCTGTGTTGTGGCAGAAGTTCACCCCCTGTCTGCAGCCGGGCCTGGAGCTGGCTGCTGTGTGGGACAGACAAGATGAAGCTCAAAGTCCTTGGTCTGGATGAGTATAAGTGTCGCTGGGCATTCTGTGCCTGTAGCTGTTCTCTTGGCAGCTATCATGGGTCTTTTACCACTGAGTCCAGAACTTTCAGTGGTCCAAAGTATCTGGAATTAAAGCTCTGTGACCTGAGGTGAATTCCCCTGAGATTTTTGGCAGTAGTTTCTTAGTTATGTTTCTTTTTCTTTTTTTTTTCCCTTTTTTCCTTCCCTCTCCATTTTCGATGGGATCTGATGACCAGAAAAGCTGCCATGTGTGGTTGTGCTACACTGGCTTGCTAGGAAGGAGGCTGTTGGTCAGTGCTGGTGGGATGTCAGTCTCTGGAGCCTTTTTAACTTGAAAAATGTCTTTGAATGTGTTCAGGACGTATCAGTTTCTCTTCATACTACTGTTACGGATATTGCCATCTGGTTGTAATGGGACTGACGTGAGGCAGAAAAGTTGAAAGTTGGTGGCACCTAAAGGTTGCTCAGTGAGTCAAACCTTGAAGAGCCTCCTACAGGAGCACTCAGATTGTTTTTAACTGATAACATGTGTTCATGTTACGTGATTTGATGACAAAATTGTTAGAAAAAAAAGAAATATACACATTTCAGATTGCTCTTAATTTTTTGGTAAGAGGTATCTTCTTTTCCCCAGTGAATTCTAACAGGCTTTATCATTCTGGCTATTCACAGACCAGCAGGAGATTACTAATGCACAGTGATAGTGTGTTTTCATAAGAGTGTTAGACCACATTTTTCAGTGCAGTAATTTCTAATGGCCTTGAATTCAGTTGAATTTCACTGTCAGAGGTGACAGTGCCCAGATTATGCTCCAAGATGGCAAGAGAATAAAGTCAGTAGAATAATGTGCTCTCAGAAGTCCAGCTTATTACTTCTGAAAATGCTTCCGAGTTCCCCAAAATAAAATGAAGAGCCACTCTAGGAGTCGTAGCTTCTGAGCATCAGCTAGAGGAAGATCCTGCAGGGAAGTGGTGGAAGAGAGGAGAAAAGCAGGACAGGAAAAGAAAAAGGGGAGAAGTGAAGAAGCCAGTTGAAAATTTGCAATGAACATTAATTTTAATTTGTTTGTTTTAGGCAAAAGCAACAACTATCAAAGAAGCTCTAGCCAAATGGGTAAGTAATAAAAGAGTATCTAGCTGCTCTGCAGTACTCAGTGGCATGGATTTTTACTATATTTAATTTTCTCTTTTTTCAGGCTTACTCTAACAAATGTTTGCTAGAAGTTTCACAGAGTAAAAATTCTATTCCTATTATCGAATAATAATCAGTTCTGTTGGATTTTCTGTGTGGTCTTGCTAAATTGATGTCTGTAAAGATGAGCCTGTTTTGCTCGCTCACTGTATTCTGCTGAATATGCATTGATAGAAGGCCTGAGGCTACAAAGAAATTTAAAGTTGGAGATGCTGTATGTTGCATTATGCCCTGTTCATTTTACCTGAGTACAGTTGTTCCCACAGGGTGAACAAGTTTGAAATACTGACTGTACTGAAGTCAGTGAACCTTCTGTATTGGCAGGTAGTGCTGTCCCTCACATTGTGCACTGTGCAAAGCTGAGCTTCTTGTTTTTAAAGTACTGTTTTAATACAGTCATCATTTAGTACCTTCAGTCTTTCACATTTATTTTTATTTTCACCCACGAACTTCACTCTTGCTCCCTTGGTGAGAATACAACAGCTTACAGATGTTTCTATTACTAGAGATATGAGCTGAGGTTTTTTTTAAAGTGCTTTTCCTTTTCCTTTCTCACTCTTTCTGCCCTCCAAAACCTGAACTTCATGTTTTCTGTTAAAGATTTATTTCACATTTGCTCCTTTGTCACGTGTCTCTCAGAAGCAGTAGATCCATGTCAGCGAGTTTCCATTTATGTTAACTACAAAGTGCTGAGTGTGCTGTCCTGTTCATGTTGTTTTGGAGGAGGAAAATTTTCCCTGTCCTGCTACTAATGTGTGTCCGTGTGATTTATAACATTGGATCTGCTGTTGTGTTGCATTCCAGATGTATTTCTTCCCTTTGGCATAATGGTTTACCTGTGTTCTACAGTCAGAACGAAATGAATTAAATCAAAGCAACTTTAAGTTGGCAACCAGGTAGCCTGTGCTTAAAAAAAGTGCTCTTCTACCTGTGGTTTCTCAGTGCTTATGGTGGTATTCCATCTGAGGTTTGTTTCAGAGGTGGGTTGCAGCCTGGAAGAATCTTCTTTATTCAGCTGCACACTCTCCACCGCAGGCCATGTTAGGGGCTCCTTCTCTGTCCTGTTTTAAGAGATAATGTAATTTTGTCTGTTGGTTTAAGGTGACTATAAGATTATAAGCCAAGGCTAAATGCAGATAGATACACGGTTGTCCTTGTCATTAGCAAAGGAAATTGAATTTTCAAGTTTGTGTAGTGACTCAGTTTGAGCAGTTCACCATATTCTAGAAAAACGTGTGGCGCACTTGTTTACTAAATTGCTAATTATGAATAAAAATCCTATCCTACTGAATTTGGACAGAGGTTGGAATTTTTAGTGAAACATGGCAACATAATAATGCTCTATTAAATTAAGTTGCCTGAAGTATTTTGGGCACGTAAGACAAAATGATGTCTGATCTTGTGTGCTGTGCTATTCTTACATGTTTCTGGGAAGCAATTCATTTTCTTCTCAAGTAAAGATATAAAACCGACCTCAGCTCTCTCACTTTTCATTAGCTGCATAAAAATGGGGGAGAAAACAAGACTCCTTGTTTTGAAAACAGAGCAGATTTCTCCTTTGTTAACAGAGCTCCAGTCTTCCCACTGAGCGCCGAGTGAATGGACAGAACGTTCCCTTTGTGCTGTCAGGGAAGCAGCTGTCACAACTGGTGTTACTGCTGGAAGAGATACTCGCTCCAAGTCTTGAGTGGATAATTACCATCACTTTGGAATTTTAAAAGGTTTCACAGGGTGTATTTTTTTAATAAACACACCCAAATGCTGCAGTTACGGCAATTCTTCCAAATCTCTGAACTCTGTATTTAATCTAGAAAGTCACCAACTTTAGTTGTAAATAGAAAATCTGTCTTCTAATGTACTCTCTGAAGCGTGAAATCTACCACTCCTTTCTAATGACTAACTAGAAGGGATTTTTTTGTTTGTTTAGAGAATTCTGTGAACTATCAGGATTTATTACTTTACACTGCAATTTCTCTGATTTCTAATTGGCCTTTGATTCAGAGGTGGAATATTATCGGTCCAGGCTCAGAGCTCTCTCCTTTCTGTCCTACACTGTTTGTTGTTGTTTTTTTCTTCCTTTTTTTTGAAGAGTGTAATCAGTTTCTCTTTTCATGTGTGCTCTGTAGGAGGTAGAGCTGAGTTACGGGCTTGAGGCTGAGCGCTAGCGCCACCTCAGGGGAGCAGCAGTCACAGCTCCCGTTTCAGGAGGAGGAATACATGGGAGCTATAAAAATGGTTAAAGCTGAGGGAAGATCTGAGGAAAGTGCTGCTGAGATTTCCACCCAGAATGCACTTCCCTGCCTTCTCAGTTTGTGCTGCGAGATGGGTGTGGGTTCTGAGTTTTCTGAGTGAAGAGGAAAGGAGATTTCTGTCAGAGATTTTAAGAATGTGTTTCTGCTACGTAAGCTTCTGGCTCCCACATGTCAGTCTTCACCGTGATTCAGAGTTTCAGACCTCCAGTTATTCTCAATTTCTTGTCAGTAGAGGACACCTGAATTAATTTGATTAAATGTAACTCCAATTTAAAAAAAAAAAGAAAAAAAAAGGGTATTTAATGTATATGTGCTTTTAGTATGTTGGAACTAAGCTGCTCTTCCACTCTTCATACTGCACTAGCAGGGCTCTTGAAGCACAGTATTAAAAATGCTTTCTCTTTTCAGTAATTTCTTTTATTAACATATTGGAATTACCTCTGTAGTAATTGCTTTCATAGGAATGTTATAGTACAACAGTTCTTAGAGATTTTGTGCAGTGAGCATATTCTTTACCTTCTCTTTTCCTTAGGAAGAAAAAAATGGCCAGAAGGCTTCAGAGGCAAAAGAAGTGAAACTGTATGGCCAGATTCCTCCTGTAGAGAAGATGGATGAATCTCTCTCCACTCTTGTTAACTGCGAGTAAGTTAAGCTAAAGATAAATTGGAAACCAAGCATTCTCTTCTATTTGTACTAATTTGGTTAATGTGCCCAAATGGCAACATGTAGTGGCATGCAGGTTATCTAATTAGCTCTAGGAACCAAGTCAGTTCAGCTGCTGTTTAGCTGAGAAAAATGTAGTGTTGTCTGTGTAGGCGATAAGACAGAGGAAAAAAAGCAACAGAGTCAGGGCTTTCCAAAAGAAATTAGAACTGCCTCAGAACTAAGTTTCTGTGCACTTGTTAAGGCTGTGCTTCCAAAGGTCATCCTGTATGTGAAGTTAGGAACATGTGGTACTTTCCTAGAAGCTAAACAAAGTCACAGAAATCATGATGCTTGAGAGAAGAATAGACAGATATGTCTAGCGCAGTGGTGTTTAGATGTGGAACTCTTCTAATATAGTGATTCCTTTTGTTCTGAGAGTTGATTGTTCTTGCTTTTAAAGGAAGCTTTCATTGTCTACAAACTGCATTGAAAGAATTGCCAACTTGAGCAGCCTAAGTAAGTGACAAACCAGTGATTATAATTGTTTTCTAGTTGTGGATAGGAAATATACTACAATTTGTAATGTGTGTCTAGCTTTATACCTTTTCTTATCCTTTTTAACTTCTTCCTCTTAGAAGGTTGCAGCTGACTTTAAAATTATCAGTCTTCCTGAAGAATGCATGTGTAGCAGTAAAAGCATACTAATGCATGTGTCTCTGTGCAGTCTGGGCAGTTGTTTTGCTGTGCAAGCTTCGTAAAAAAAATCCATGCAGAAGTAGCTATGTAGTCTCCAGTGGGACTGAGTTATGATATTCAACAGTAATTGATTCTAGAGTGATTTAACAACTAATTTCCACATTGATGTTGGAGAGAGTCTGCAGCTGAACAGCGTAATAATTGTGGCATAGTCTGTTGCTGAGGTCAGAGTGTTGGGGGCCGGGATGGAATCTGGAGGCGAGACAAAATGGAACTTCCCTGTCTGTAAGGTACAGAATGGGAGGAGCTCACAGTTATTATTGCCTTCCTCGAGAGAAATCGATGCTTACAGCAATGAAAAACCATCAAGTAATTATGACGTGTTTGCTTTTGTTCATTGCAAAGAGGACACTGAGAAATCCTCTTAAGCGTCCAGCACTGTTTTCAGATAGAAAAGATTAATATTAGTGTGCGTAGTGATATTGTCATGTGATATCATGCTGAGTAGGTAATTCTGTGCAAAGCACCACACCTCAGCGTCCATGCAGGTGAGGAGGATTTAAGTGATAGCAGCAAGTGTTACATTTCTGTTCAGTTGTGTGAAAATATTTCTTGAGGAACTTCTTACTGCTTCTAAAATATTTAATATCGCAGAAGAGGAGCACTAAAGAACAATAATGGCAGTTAGAAATGACTTGAAGGTGTGATGTTTTCTGCAGTCTTTCGTTTTTGTGTTTGTCACTATCCTCTCACCTCTTAGGAATTTCTAAAGCTAGTGCAGGCTTGTACTTTCTAAACATGTGGTACAGAGAGAATGAGAGAAGCTGGATTGTCTCTCTCCTGTGGATGGGGAACTGTAGGGATAGTCTGGAGAATATTAGCTGCAACTGACTTTAGACTGTGACTGATGATGAGTTTTCATATTTTGAGCCATGGCCATGTGTTAAGATGTTGCATTTAAAGAGAAAAAGAATTCTGATTGTGCCTCATATTTTTTCTAACTAGTTTCTAACTATTTTTATTCTAACTATTTTCTAACTAGTTTTTCTGTTTTAGAACGTCTGCCAGTTGTGGTTTCATCCCCTGCATTCCTGGAGATGGAACATACAACTACCTGTTTTAGATCAGCCTCAAATCTTTATCTGTAGCAATCTCCAGGCACTACATTGCTATCTCTGCAGCCTGTTGCTACTGGACTGGGACATTCATTAGTCTCACTGTTAGTTATTGTAGTTATTAGTTATTTGCTTGTTAATACCTGCAAGAAAGCTTATGTGAATACTGAAAAGGAGTTTTCTGGAAAGACTGCTATTTTGTCATAGATCTGAGTTACACTAATATTACACTGACCTCCAGCAACAGTAGCTCACTTCAGAAGCTTATTTGTCAGGGTTCTAAATTAAGCTGAAATATTTCTTATCAGACTTCAGTCTGACAGCTTTATATGCTACCTCCTTACAGCATTAAAATGAGATTAGAACAACTTTATTTTTTAACCTGTAAAAGAAAGGGTAAGAACTATTTGAAATCATTGCTAGGAAGCCAACAGAGCTCAGGTGTAGGATGAAATTCTAGTTTTTTTTCAGTATTTACATGGACTGAATTTCTGTAGGTAACCTACAAATGAACAACTCTGTGCTTGTGAGCACATTTCTGGGTTATCCTCTGCATCAACTCCCAGTCATTGTCAGTTTTTATTTCTGTTGTGTCATTCTTTCTTAAGACAATCTTTGGAATGTAGGTTTTTTAGGAGTATGGAGTTTTACCTGAATTATAACATCTTCTTATGCTTAAGAAATCACTTATGAATGAGAAACTTTCTGTTATCTATTTCAGAAAATTTGAGGATTTTGTCTTTGGGAAGAAATAATATTAAGAACTTGAATGGATTGGTATGTGCATCTTAATCTTAACTCCTTACTGAGTGGAGCACTATGCAGGATGTGGGATAATTGCCCCATGTTTATAGGTCTTGGCTGAATTGTATTCCCTAAATTTTGATTTTATTCTGGCACAATGGTATGTTTACTCTCTTTCCTATCATTTCTGAAAATTCAGATAGTTTTTGTCTGTTTGTTTGTTTGCTTTTGCGGAAAAGATCGTGGTGGGACTGAATCTATTGGGCATAGGAAGAATACTTGGGGAAAAAATGGGATTAGTTTTATTATATTTGTATTATATCTCTATTAAAGCAGAATATTTTTCAATTGACTTTGTTAAAAATGAGTACAGTATTATTTCCTTCCTTCTCGAGTATTGTGTGTTTCTCCTGCAGAATATTCCAGCTTAAAACTATTGCCACCTCTAGAGGTGCCGTTATCTCTTAAGCATAAAATGAAATAAATTTATAAAAACTAGTTTATAAAAACACTCTTTTTGAGGGAGTTATAAAAGCAACTTCTGTCCTACATGACCAAAATACACGTGCACTCGAGACAGACCATTCCCTAGTACTGCATAAAAACCCCAATGAAAGAGTTGCTGAATAGCAGCCCCTGTGTGCACAAACGGCCACATTTGTCTCCTCTGTCTCTATGCCTTAAGAACAACTGCTGTTCCTTCTCTTATTCTAATACTGTGATTTTTGACATCCTAAATATATTTCATGTCCTTTGCTCTTGTTCCTCTGAGTATTTGTAATACTTCACTAGAAACCTGCTTAAAAGGAAATGAAGACCAGTAGATCTTAGTGTTTTCTTACATGAGGTGACCTGCAGGGGTGAAGAAAAGAGAGTCTGAAGAATGAGGACTTACTTTCACTTACCTGAGTAGCTCTGTCATTTTCCAGGAAGCAGTTGGAGATACGCTAGAAGAGCTGTGGATTTCGTACAACTTCATTGAGAAACTGAGGGGTATCCGTGTAATGAAGAAGCTGAAGGTTCTTTACATGTCCAATAATTTGGTGAAAGACTGGGGTAAGCCATTCCAGTCTATTGTGCAGCTTCCTACAAATTACGGTGAATGCATGAGTAAGCAAGTTAAAAAATAGCTCTCCATGTCCTGGGGCTCAAGTTTTACTGATAAGCCTGCAGAAGTACACAGAATCCCTAAATAATTCATGCAAGAAATTAAAAATAGGAAATTGAATTTAAACTCTAAGCCCAATGGAGTTTGTTCTTTGAATCACTTTGCTTGGACTTCTTTTGAAATGTGTACTTGTTCCTTAACCTGTTCCCAGTTCAAGTCCAAATGGTCCCTATCTGTTTGTATCCCAAGCTATTTATGTGTGCGTGGAGTTTGAAAGGAAGGTTTGGTGCAGATGTCCTTTCCTTGTTCATAATCTGGTTACTGTTTTCATATTTGTGGTTGCAGCAGAGTTTGCGAGACTGGCAGAGCTGCCATTATTAGAGGATCTGGTGTTTGTAGGCAATCCACTGCAAGAGAAATACGCCTCTGATCAGAAGAACAACTGGATTGAAGAAGCAACCAAACGGGTGCCCAAGCTGAAAAAGCTGGATGGTAAGTTTGGGGCACGAGGCAACTGATCTAAGTGACAAGAAGTGACAAGCGTAGTAGAAAGATCAGGGAAATAAATTGTAACCTCAAAACCTCATCTGTGCAATCCTGCACCAGCTGCAGGATCTTCTGAAAAGTTGTCCACGTGGTGTGCAGCCCACAGGTTGGGCTTTACTCTTGAAATTAACCAGCAAATAGTTTTAGCATGTCACTAAATTCCCCAGAGAAGTGGCCATGGCACTGAGCTTGCCAGAGATCAAAGAAATGCAAAGCATCAACACTCTCAGACACGTTCTGATTTTAGGGTGGTCCTGTGTGGAGCCAGGAGTTGGACAGCAGCAGGAAATAGAATTATTTCCTCTTTCTGACAGCCTGACTCTTTCCTAGTTTTGATAGTCCAGATTAGCTTTCAAGCAGATCACCATTAACTGTACCTTTCTCTGCATAATCTCTTCATAAAGCTGTAGATCTTCTCTTTTCTTTTTTTTTCCTTGTAGGTACCCTTGTTATTAAGCAAGAAGAAGATGAAGAAGGAGGAAACTGATGAGACTTTTGCGTTGGTTGTTTAATAATTTAAATATCTCCAGATTGCTCAGCACATAGAACTTTTGTATAAATGTTTGTTTTGAAGAAAAGCTTTGGGCAAGTTTTATAAGACCAGCTTATCTCCACAGTCTCTTACCCAAAGAGTTATTTACCAAACTTCAGGCACACCAGTTTCGTCAAGCTTCTGACACCTTCTGCAGAGACCAGTGGAGTTGAGTTCATCTTTTGTTTGGTTAGTGAGAGATCTTTACCTGAGCTAATACCTAGCTATTCCTAATTCCTGACTAGTGGTGCTTATTGTTCGCTCTTGTGTTACAACAGAGCAATTTTAACTTGTTAGATGCAGCTGGCCAACATTCAGTTGAAACACCATTGTTACATTTTAGAACTATGTTATAGACTTTGTTGTGTTTAATCCTGTTACGGGAATCCCTTAATATTTTAAGTATGTGAATTTGCCTTTTCATCCCCTGAAGTATTATGCCAAATAGGCCCAGGAGTTGTGGACATACGCACAAGAAAGGTAATGGGCACATGATCTCTTGTTATGGACTGCAAGTTTTGAATTGGGCTTCTTGCATTGGAACTCTTAACTTCATTGCTTAGAAGGCCATGTATAACTTATATGATGTTATTTATTTTAAAGAGGCAATGGGAATTCTTTGCATGGTTTCAGTGAGACTAAAGCATCTTTTTTTCTCTTTTTTATAAATTATTTTGATTGGAATAAGTAGAGTATTGGCCTACAGCTGGTTCCTGTTCCCAGTCTTGTTTTGGCTCATTGATGGACGTAATCCTTCTCAGCTCTGGAATTTTCATGTAACTATAAGTGGGCTCAGAAACAAACTCAGAAACAAACAGTGAACAAGAGACCTGGGCTTGAGATGTAAAATGTTGGGTTTGGGATACTAATTTTTTTTGTAAAGCACAGATGAGTGAAATGTGTACGTGGTTACTGAGGAAGGTGAGACAAGGTGGGAAATGGGTATTGGAAAATAAGTACTGAAGATGTACTAAACATGCTCTGTTGCACGTTAACCGTTTTAGTGAACCTCCTTATATGGCAGGTAACTATTTTTAGTGAAAAGCATTATGTAATGCTAAAGACAGACATAATTGCACTGTTGGATGCAAAAAATGTTCCCTCCTCTCTACTTCCTTTAGAAAATGGATCAACTCAGCTAAGTGGATTTTTTGGCAGCTTGTTTTTATTGTTTTTAAGTTTTTCTTCTAATTCAGTGCATTATCTTTGTTTAAACTAGAAAAGCGTGCTTGCAGGTTTTAGAGCAGACATGTAAGGGACGAAGTTCAGAACACCACTTTTGTTTGTGAAAGAGTGGCAGGGGTTGATATCCTGGAAAGTCATGGGCAGGGATAAAAGGGTGGAAGGGACCCAGGCGACAGTGATATTGATCTCAAGCTCCAGGTGTAATTTTAGTAGAAGATAATTCTAGTGCTCATCAATATCTAAGTAAAAGGTGTGAAGATTACAAGGAAAGCAGAGCCTAGTTTCAATATATTCTTTCTTGTTATTCTGTGATTTTTAGAGAAATGCTTAAGCATTCCAACTTAAACTGGCAGATACAAATAAGTCTCGAGTTTCATTTAGATCCATTTCTTAAAATAAGGTCAGAAGAACAATGGCCAAAGCTGGATTTATTTTACAGATTGTGTAGTCTCTTGTAATTCCTTCCAGTGTTATGCTTTCTCGTTAGGAAAGGCAGCACTGATTAAGAAGCACGCAGGGAGGGAGTATTATACAGCAAACAACCATTTCACGTTGGCCTCTTAAAACCAACTCAGTTCACTTGCAGCCAATCAGCTTTGGAAAAGTGGATGTGATTTGAAGGAGCACCTAGCTTATGGGCACACATGGTCTTCACTGACCTCAGCTTTTGTGGAAGGGCAACAGGGAATAGGCTTGGGCCATTGCATGAAGTGATTAAAGTGTGCTTATAGTGAGAACTTCAAATGTTAGCAACAAATAGAAAAGCCAATTTCAGATGTGTGTGCAGCTGTTTTCAGGACAGAATATGCAGAATATATGCATGGATTCTAGCCAAGAGGCAATGCATTTAAATCCCTGCACCTTCAAAAACCAACGTGTGCAGTTACGGTACGTATCGCTTAAATTAATTAAATAAATTAATTAGCTCCTCAAAAGAAACAAGACAGAGATGAGAATGTTGTCCAGTGCTACATAATCCTACTGGTTAATTTTGTAATATCTAAATATGGTCTAACTCTGTACATCTACAAAGGCAGTGTTAGATACAGCAAAGACTCTGACTATTGTGGGACAATCTAAGAGCAGAATAGAATTTTAGCATTCTAGGTGGAGGTAGTTCCGTTGCCAAGGCTTGAGGAACCTCCAAGAGGTTCCTGGCTCTTGTAACTGACAAGTTGAGGCTCCACGGATTAATTACCATTAATCAGTCCAGCAATAACTATTGCAGTTGTTCGTTGGTAGAGCTGGGTGCAGCATATGCCTGTTGGCATCAGCTCTTTTCACAAATTAACAGCACAAATTCTTTTTTTTTGCAACTACGTTAAAAATATGAAAATCAAAGCAATCGTTACTGAAAGGAACAGGGCATCCAGTCTCAGCACAACTGTAGCAGCAGCAAGGTAAACTTAGAAGCTTTTCCTTTGCCTTTCACCCTCCTGCATCCTGCAGAACCTTTGCATGTAAGTTAACCCTTTTCTAAGTTTTAGCTTAATGTTATATGTGATGAATTGTGGGTTACTGCCTAGCACAAATCAAAATCCCATGGACTTTACTAGCCCCAAATAAATTAAGTTTCAATCAATTTCTAAAATTTGCACTTTAAAAAATTATGCACTGGATGTGGTAGAAGATACAGGTGATAGAATTTAAGCAACTGATCTGCAATGCAGATGGAGCTGCACTGCGTCACAGATACGCTATCAGAGATCAGATCGTGTGCCCAGGGGAGCGGCTGAGCAGCAGTTGGATGCTGAAAGAATTCTTCCTGTATTATTCTTTGCGCCCCCACATCTCACCACATCTAATGATGTCCTAAGCACATTATTATTCATGGATGAGAAGAGCACCCATGTAAAACTTGCAAGCCATGTGGAATTCTGCTTTTCCCACAGAAATTATGGAGGATTAGCATCCACTTAATTATACAGAGAAATATCCTACAATTAAATTAGAGATAGAAAATAGGTATTTTACTTGCTTGTTAGCACAGACCTCTCTTCAAAGAGATGATGTTTGCAGTGGTTATCTTTCAAATGGCTGGAAAAATGTGAGAAGAGACCCAAGAACCAGCAGCTGATTCAAATTACAAGAGAAGTAGATCCATCTAGGAAAATCTTCAAGCAAGAAAGCACTTTTTAACATCTACTTTTGATGACATTTTGTATACTGTAATTTTGTAGCATGACCAAACTGTTAAAGTTGCTGTGTTTAAATTATTTAGGCTTACGTTTATAAATGAACTTATGTGAAACTTGTTTAAAAATAACAATGCTATTTTATAAAAAAAAAAAAAAAAAGTCTTTGGCTATTGTGTAATGGAATAGGCTCAGCTTCTGGTGAATTTTCATAAATTAATTTTTGTTCTCATTAACTTTTCCTAGCTGCTCAGGGAGCAATGTATTTATAGTATGGAAATGCTGTGTCTTATTGCCTCTATATTTTAGGATAGGAAATAATTTAGGCTTTACAGATGTTGATCTAATTGTGATTGTTGTCATCTGATACATAAATATTTTTCAGTCTTTTAATACAGACACTGGTTGTCAGATTTGTTGTTAGTTCCTAAGAGAAAAGTCTGCTATTTTTATTTGGGGTAAAAAAAATTGCAAGTACATTAAAT